ATGCGAGCCACATTATAGAGATGTTCTGCCCAAGTGGTTAGGTTGCGCACAGGTATGCACTATCACCTTAAAGTTAAACTATCACATTTTCCTCATCGACGTAAGCAATGATTTTTACAAAGAATAAATAATATAATTAACTTACACAAAAGCCAGCCATCTCCATATTCACCATCTCGCAGCTTTGAAAAAAGGCCACTGGCCCTGGGTTTTTCATGACAATGTTTGTAATGACCCCTTTTGAGTTACACACAACTTCTACATTCAAAGAATGTGTGTGTTTCCAATTCCGATAGACATGTTTCCTATCTGAGGGGGGGAACAAGCTGCACATGAGTGCAGTCTATTGTGCCAATGGTTTGGGGGAAGCCAGCAACTGCATAAAAGCCGTGTCATTTACTGCGTCCAAAGTGCTTGGAAACTATATGCATCGCGCTGTTTTGCTCATTTGACAGACGCAATCCTCAGTGCACAGTAGATCAGGTTTGCGCGCGCTATCAAGTTTGCACATACGCAAACCTTCAGTAGATCAGGCCCTATGAGTTTTAAACTGTAATGTGAAGCATTTCAGTTGAAGTATGGTTGGATTGGAAGTTTAAACGAATAGATGAGATTTTTTTTTCAGACTGAGGGTATGCAGACTCAGGAAGGGTTGAGGTTATTTGATCAAGGTTTATTTACTCAGCCTTGTGCTCAGTTTGGAAAGGATTATATTTCACACTCTGGCAAACGCCTAATGAACAACAATAAAACTCAAGGTGGCTGAGAAAATCTAATCTATAGAGGCAGTCTGAACCAAAGAACGCTCTTAGATTAATACAACTTTAAAATGAGGTATCGGTTTAATTCAGAGTGAAGTGAAAGTGTGCTTACAAACAGCCTCTCACTCCTGTGAGGCAAAAATTCTGCTCTATTCTGTATTAATTCATTTAGTAAGTTAGTTGTTTTAAACTGCTGTCTGTGAGAGAGGAACTTAAGTGGTGCAGCTGCTGGTCAAAGGAGTCTATGGGAGCCTTACCCGTTAACATGCACAAAGCACATGTCATGAATGATATTTTACCCCATGAGAGTGCAGCTCTGTGTAGTTTACTTTTGTGTTGTGTCTGGTTGTGGGGTTGAGCTGTCAGCATCTCCACAAAGCTCTGGGCTCTTTTACACCACTCCTTTTTTATCATTAACCCTTAAAGTGAACCATATTTTTAAATTCCTACTCAGATGGGTATTTTTTTTTTTTTTTTTTTTTTTTCTACTTAAAGTGTTACCAGCGTCATTTTGAAGGGCTTTTCTTCTGCAGAGCTCCAGTAGCTCATTAGCAATTCACCTCTGAGTGGTGGGCGGAGACAGCGCTCCTCTGCACACCCCTCATCATGCTAGCTTGTAGCCTAACATTGCCGGTATAGTAGAAGTGGCAGGTAACATAGGAGCTATGCAGATCTCAGACATTAATGTCTTTGAGGACATGATGAAAGCTAATATCATAATTAGCTTTCTTACGAGCATTGCAATCTGCTCACACACATACTTGGTCTGCCATCATCCTCTCAACTTCTCCAAGTCTGGCCTGCATTTAGGGGCTCCAGGGGTGGAGCTTGGAGTTGTGAAGTAGGAAATCTCACTGTTTCTGAGCCTGCCGTTTGGGTCTGTGAGAGGTTCACAGAGATTTGAATGCAGAAATACTCAGAAATACAATTTTGCACTTAGTTTCCTCATGATATGTCCTGTAGCATCAGAAAAATGCCATAAGAACATGTAGACAACAAGAAAAACAAGATTTTTATCGGAGTGGGTTTTGAAATGATTATCTGAAACTTCAATTTCCACCAAACTCAGCGGTCTTTAACCTGCTGATTTTCCTGTAGCCTGACTTCACAGATGGTACTTAGACTGTGGTGGGAGCATGTAGTATTGTGTCATTCACATTTGTCTCGCCTCTCTGTTTTGAAAGCTTGGAGTATCTGGAATTGTTTTATTTTTTATTGATTTACTCCTCTGACCTTGAATAGCAGCTAAAATCTTTGACAACTTGGTAATCTTATAATCTTGGCGCAAAGAAGATATGCATGAGGATGGTTGAGCTAACTGGCTCTGATTAGTTAAAAGAGCCTCTGCAGGTAGGATAAGGTGGTTCACCTGAGAAAGAAGAAGGATCTAAACCTGCTCAGACAGGGTAAGATGGATCACAGACAACTGAGACAGATCAGACAGCCTCTGGAGATTTGAAGTCACCTGTAGATCTTTATCATGTGTTTGGAGTCCTGTAGTCTTGTCTTGTGAGTTTTCAGTTTGTGTCTGACCCTGTTACCCTCATGTTCTCAGTGTCTTATTCTCTATTATCAGTTTTCAGTGTTTCCTGTTTTATTTTGTAGTAGTTTATACCCTATGTTTCTAGTCTTGCTTTACTTCCTAAGTTTTCCATCCTCTGTGATTGTCTGCACCTATGTCTTTGTGTCTCACCTGCCTCTCGTTGCTCGTTTCCCTGTGTGTGTAAATACATAGTCCTTGTCTTCCCCTGTTTCCTCGTCAGTTCATTGTATGTCACTACCTCTGTGTGTCTCCAGTGTCTCCTTGTGATTTTTTGGTTCTTTGAGTTGGACAATTTGGAAAGTAAGTTTTTGTTTTTTTCTTTTAGTTCCTTTTAAATAAATCATCATTTTCATTCTGCATTTTGGGTCCTTTACTTTTTGTTTGACTCCAACCTCTGACACCTCTGGTGTTAACATTCAGATGGAGATCAGATCACTTACAGATGATGGGCCGGGCTAAGACAAAGAACTTTTACAAATGTAGTTTTGTCACAAGGTTTCTGTATAAAAAACTGCCCCAATACGTTGCTCCCCAGGATTAAATCCTCACATGCCTGCTCTGAGTATTGGACCACCACAAAAGTGTTTCTGCATGTTGAGGTTGCTCTTTGAACAATTTTAAACAGCTTAAAAAGACAAAAATATTACAATTTTAAGTTGTAATACCTTTTATTACAAACCCCTGGTTATTTGAATTCTGGAGGAAAAGGATCTGAAAATCCCTGTTTTTATGTTTTGATCCACGTTTAACACAAACATCCACATTTCACTTGAGTTTGTAAAAAAAAAGAAAAAAAGGTAGGCTGAAAAATACTAATGACCGAAGTCAGAGTGAAAACAAGTCTGTGCAACAGACCAGATTATGAGCTTTGGTCATTGAAAAACACAGAAGCAGCAGATGTAAAACATCAATACACAGATTCACGTGTCCTTTAAAAGCAGCTGAGATGGACAGTACATATCAGGAACTGTTTCCAAAATAGGTCACTGACTGAGGGCTCTTAGGGAGTGTTCTTGTGGTTCTTGAAAGAGTCAGTACATTTACATGACACTCGAGAAAACTGAATTTTTGACAACTCAAGTGCATGTAAATTACAACTGTAATTGGATGGAGAACTCCAAGTAAGACACCCAGATAACGGATTGGAATTCGATTTTCTCTACCATATAACCAGTGTAGTCAGCGTATGATCGGACAATGCGTGTGCGTCACACCCCCGTTAATCCCAGAACAAAAACACCAGAGAAGAGGAGTAGCGTGCACCTCATCTGCAGAAAAAGTAGCGCATATATCATGTGCGATAAAAACAATGCAGTATAAAGCTCCATCTTCTTGCTCAAAAATGCCCAGCAGCAGTTGTAGCCACCTCTGACATCTGGCAAGGACCTGCTGTTGTTGTTGGGTCAAACAGACACAGTGCCACTGAAAAGACCCATATCGCCTCCTAGTTTTTGGGAGGAGGACACGTTCACGCCAATAATTCGATTTTCTCAGCTGCATGTATACGCGGACAAGAAGAGAGGTCTGATTCGGCGAAAAAAAAATGAATTATGAGCTTAGTCTGATTAAGCTGTGCATTTAAACGCACTGACTGTTTTAAAGAGATGTCTCTCCTGTGTTGTTTCTGCTGAACAGGAAAAAGCAGCTCTCTGTTCAACTGTCTGGATGATCCTGAGTCAGAGACACCCTAAAGGCTCAGTCAGCCATGGTGCCACAGATATGTATTGATCCTTTTTGTAGCCTATAGAAGCAAAGTGCTCCCCACAGCCTGGGGTTTGAATAAATAAGGGCGGGCTGAGGCTGGATATGCTGCATCAACTTAATTATTGGGGAAACAGTTATCTTAACTTTTTAACCAGGAGCACAGACTCAGTTTTATTTTTCATAGACACTCTGAAAAGTTTATACTCATGCACTAACAAAACTCTTTAATGTAACAGCTCCAGCATGTCCATGATTCAAAGTGGCTAAACCAACCACAAATGCACATCCAGATCCCTCCTTTCATGAAGTGGGTGATATTCATAGAAAAAACCCTCTGTTTCTTGACTGAAGTAAAGACTTTCAGTCCCCTAATGTACCACTAGATTATTCAGGCCTGCAAAAGCCTCATTTGCCAATACAGCTGTCAACCATAATGAAACTCTTCCACTTTATATATGATATTTAGGGCCCGAGCGTAGCTGCTAAGCAGCTGCGAGAGCCCTCTTGTTCCTGATGGATTCTTCTTTAGGGCCCGAGCGTAGCTGCTAAGCAGCTGCGAGAGCCCTCTTGTTCCTGTAGTTTCCTTCTTTTGTTATTAGGGCCCGAGCGTAGCTGCTAAGCAGCTGCGAGAGCCCTATTATTCCCCAAGTGGTTTTTCTTTGTTTCTTTCTTTCTTCTTTTTCCTCCCCTTTGAACTGGAAAATGGCCCACTTACCACTGGCGAAAACTCATGAAATTTGGCAGGATGACCGGGCCTGGTGAAAAATTTGATATTCCGAAGTCGCCCAAACAAGAAAATGCAAAATGGCTCCATAGCGCCCCCTAAGGTGAAAATTCACACTATTGACTGTCACGCCTTTACGCTTTGTCAAAATGACACAAAAATTGACACACATATGTATCTCAATAAGATCTACAAAAAAGTCAGTGCGGGCGTATCTGTCAAATGTACGGTTAAAGGGTTATTTCGCATTTTTTGCAGATCCGCACACATTGGAATTTCGCTAACTCCTCCGAAGGCTTTCTTTCCACCGGCACCACATTTGCTCAGGCCAATCTACACCCCATGGCCATTAAAAGTTATTCAAATCATGACGCTGCACCCCACGGTTTAGGTTCTAGGGGGCGCCAAAGATAACCCGAAAATCCACATATTTCAAAGTCTTATAACTTTTTATTTTTACCCTCACTGGCCTCCAAGTTTTCTAGGATGATGCAATGTCCAGCCATCAACACATTTGTGAAGGATTTTTTACTCCCCAAAAGAGCGCCCCCCCATGGCCGGAGAAAAAAGTCCATTTTTTCTTGTCCCCTAAGGTGAAAATACACATTGTTGAGTGTCACGCCTGTACGCTTTGTCATATTGACACAAAATTTGACACACACATGTATCTCAATAAGATCTACGAAAAAGTCAATGCGCGCGTATCTGTCAAATGTACGGTTAAAGGGTTATTCTGCATTTTTTGCTGATCCGCACACATTGGAATTTCGCTAACTCCTCCTAAGGCTGGCGTTCCACCGGCACCACATTTGCTCAGGCCAATCTACACCCCATGGCCATTAAAAGTTATTCAAATCATGACGCTGCACCCCACGGTTTAGGTTCTAGGGGGCGCCAAAGATAACCCTAAAATCCACATATTTCAAAGTCTTATAACTTTTTCTTTTTGTCCTCACTGGCCTCCAAGTTTTCTAGGATGATGCAATGTCCAGCCATCAACACATTTGTGAAGGAATTTTTACTCCCTAAAAGAGCGCCCCCCATGGCAGGAGAAAAAAGTCAATTTTTTCTTGTCCCGTAAGGTGAAAATTCACATTGTTGAGTGTGACACCTGTACGCTTTGTCATATTGACACAAAATTTGACAATCACGTGTATCTCAATAAGATCTACGAAAAAGTCAATGGGTGCGTATCTGTCAAATGTACGGTTAGAGGGCTATTTTGCATTTTTTGCCGATTCGCACACATTGGAATGTGGCTAACTCCTCCTAAGGCTTTCGTCCCACTGAAACTAAATTTGCTCAGGCCAATCTACACCCCATGGCCATTCAAAGTTGTAAAAATCATGACGCTGCACCCCACGGTTTACGTTCTAGGGGGCGCCAAAGATGACCAAAAAATCCACATTCTTAAAAGAATCCACATTCTCCCCCCCCCATGGCAGGAGAAAAAGTCAAGTTTTTCCTGCCCATCGCTCAATGGCTCAATCGCATCGCTCTCCAGGCAACACCGTATCCAGGAGCAACCTGCCATTTGGATATATCCCAGCTGTGTTTGTGCCCTCACTCATGGTCCAGACTTTTTTCAAATAGGACATGAAGTTTGTCTGCAGCGAGTGTTTTGGTAGAAACTGCGCCTCCCATTCATTATAATGGGAAATGACCACAGACAAGTGCGCACACCATCTTTGGACCTTGAGTGTGACGCGATCGGGAGGGGGAGGCGGTCACGCTGGGGGCGGCACAACGCGGCTCGGGCCCGACAGTGCCCCACCGGGGCCCTAGTTATTATTATTATTATTTTTCCTCCCCTTTGAACTGGAAAATGGCCCACTTCCCACTGGCGAAAACTCATGAAATTTGGCAGGACGACCGGGCCTGGTGAAAAATTTGATATTCCGAAGTCGCCCAAACAAGAAAATGCAAAATGGCTCCATAGCGCCCCCTAAGGTGAAAATTCACACTATTGACTGTCACGCCTGTACGCTTTGTCAAAATGACACAAAAATTGACACACACATGTATCTCAATAAGATCTACGAAAAAGTCAGTGCGGGCGTATCTGTCAAATGTACGGTTAAAGGGTTATTTCGCATTTTTTGCCGATCCGCACACATTGGAATTTCGCTAACTCCTCCGAAGGCTTTCATTCCACCGGCACCACATTTGCTCAGGCCAATCTACACCCCATGGCCATTAAAAGTTATTCAAATCATGACGCTGCACCCCACGGTTTAGGTTCTAGGGGGCGCCAAAGATAACCCTAAGATCCACATATTTAAAAGTCTTATAACTTTTTATTTTTGCCCTCACTGGCCTCCAAGTTTTCTAGGATGATGCAATGTCCAGCCATCAACACATTTGTGAAGGAATTTTTACTCCCCAAAAGAGCGCCCCCCCATGGCAGGAGAAAAAAGTCCATTTTTTCTTGTCCCCAAAGGTGAAAATACACATTGTTGAGTGTAACACCTGTACGCTTTGGCAAAATGACACAAAAATTGACACACACATGTATCTCAATAAGATCTACGAAAAAGTCAATGCGCGCGTATCTGTCAAATGTACGGTTAAAGGGTTATTCCGCATTTTTTGCCGATCCGCACACATTGGAATTTCGCTAACTCCTCCGAAGGCTTTCGTTCCACCGGCACCACATTTGCTCAGGCCAATCTACACCCCATGGCCATTAAAAGTTATTCAAATCATGACGCTGCACCCCACGGTTTAGGTTCTAGGGGGAGCCAAAGATAACCGTAAAATCCACATATTTAAAAGTCTTATAACTTTTTATTTTTGTCCCCACTGGCCTCCAAGTTTTCTAGGATGATGCAATGTCCAGCCATCAACACATTTGTGAAGGAATTTTTACTCGGCAAAAGAGCGCCCCCCATGGCAGGAGAAAAAAGTCAATTTTTTCTTGTCCACTAAGGTGAAAATACACATTGTTGAGTGCTACGCCTGTATGTTTTGTCGTATTGACACAAAATTTTACATACACGTGTATTTCAATAAGATCTTCGAAAAAGTCAATGGCCACGTATCTGTAAAATGTACGGTTGAAGGGTTATTTCGCATTTTTTGCAGATTCGCACACATTGGAATTTCGCTAATTCCTCCGAAGGCTTTCGTTCCACCGGCACCACATTTGCTCAGGCCAATCTACACCCCATGGCCATTAAAAGTTATTCAAATCATGACGCTGCACCCCACGGTTTAGGTTCTAGGGGGCGCCAAAGATAACCCTAAAATCCACATATTTAAAAGTCTTATAACTTTTTAGGGCCCGAGCGTAGCTGCTAAGCAGCTGCGAGAGCCCTCTTGTTCCTGATGGATTCTTCTTTTGTTAGGGCCCGAGCGTAGCTGCTAAGCAGCTGCGAGAGCCCTATTATTCCTGATGGATTCTTCTTTCTTCTTCTTCTTCTTATTATTTTTCTGCCCCTTTGAACTGGAAAATGGCCCACTTCCCACTGGTGAAAAGTCATGAAATTTGGCAGGACGACCGGGCCTGGTGAAAAATTCGATATTCTGAAGTCGCCCAAAAAATCAAATGCAAAATGGCTCCATAGCGCCCCCTAAGGTGAAAAATTCACATGATTGAGTGTCACGCCTGTACGCTTTGTCAAAATGACACAAAATTTGACACACACGTGTATCTCAATAAGATCTACAAAAAAGTCAGTGCGGGCGTATCTGTCAAATGTACGGTTAAAGGGCTATTTCGCATTTTTTGCCGATCCGCACACATTGGAATTTCGCTAACTCCTCCGAAGGCTTTCGTTCCACCGGCACCAAATTTGCTCAGGCCAATCTACACCCCATGGCCATTAAAAGTTGTACAAATCATGACGCTGCATCCCACGGTTTACGTTCTAGGGGGCGCCAAAGATAACCCAGAAATCCACATTCTTAAAAGTCGTATAACTTTTTATTTTTGTCCTCACTGGCCTCCAAGTTTTCTAGGATGATGCAATGTCTAGCCATCAACACATTTGTGAAGGAATTTTTACTCCCCAAAAGAGCGCCCCCCCATGGCAGGAGAAAAAAGTCCAGTTTTTCTTCCCCCTAAGGTGAAAATTCACATTATTGAGTGTCACGCCTGTACGCTTTGTCATATTGTAACAAACTTTGACAATCACGTGTTTCTCAATAAGATCTACGAAATAGTCAATGGGCGCGTATCTGTAAAATGTACGGTTAAAGGGCTATTTCGCATTTTTGGTCGATTCGCACACATTGGAATGTGGCTAACTCCTCCTAAATATTTCGTTCCACTGACACCAAATTTACTCAGGCCAATCTACATTCCATGGCCATTCAAAGTTGTAAAAATCATGACGCTGCACCCCACGGTTTATGTTCTAGGGGGCGCCAAAGATAACCCAAAAATCCACATTCTTAAAAGTCTTATAACTTTTTATTTTTGTCCTCACTGGCCTCCAAGTTTTCTAGGATGATGCAATGTCTAGCCATCAACACATTTGTGAAGGAATTTTTACTCCCTAAAAGAGCGCCCCCCATGGCAGGAGAAAAAGTCAAGTTTTTCCTGCCCATCGCTCAATGACTCAAACACATCGCTCTCTCGGCAAAACCGAAAGGAGGAGCAACTAGCCATTTGGATATATCCTAGCTGTGTTTGTGCCCTCACTCATGGTCCAGTCCTTTTCAAATAGGACATGTAGTTTGTCTGCGGCGAGCGTTTTGGTAGAAACTGCGCCTCCCATTCATTATAATTGTAAATGACCACAGACAAGTGCGCACACCATCTTTGGACCTTGAGTGTGACGCGATCGGTAGGGAGAGGCGGTCGTGTTGGGGGCGGCGCGACACGGCTCGGGCCCGCCAGTGCCCCAACGGGGCCCTAGTTATTATTATTATTATTTTTCCTCCGCTTTAAACTGGAAAATGGCCCACTTCCCACTGGCGAAAACTCATGAAATTTGGCAGGACGACCGGGCCTGGTGAAAAATTCGATATTTTGTAGTCGCCCAAACAAGAAAATGCAAAATGGCTCCATAGCGCCCCCTAAGGTGGAAATTCACACTATTGACTGTCACGTCTGTACGTTTTGTCATATTGACACAAAAATTGACACACATATGTATCTCAATAAGATCTACAAAAAAGTCAGTGCGGGCGTATCTGTCAAATGTACGGTTAAAGGGTTATTTCGCATTTTTTGCCGATCCGCACACATTGGAATTTCGCTAACTCCTCCGAAGGCTTTCGTTCCACCGGCACCACATTTGCTCAGGCCAGTCTACACCCCATGGCCATTAAAAGTTGTACAAATCATGACGCTGCACCCCACGGTTTAGGTTCTAGGGGGCGCCAAAGATAACCCAAAAATCCACATTCTTAAAAGTCTTATAACTTTTTATTTTTGTCCTCACTGCCCTCCAAGTTTTCTAGGATGATGCAATGTCCAGCCATCAACACATTTGTGAAGGAATTTTTACTCCCCAAAAGAGCGCCCCCCATGGCAGGAGAAAAAAGTCCAGTTTTTCTTGTCCCCTTGCTCAGGCCAGTCTACACCCCATGGCCATTAAAAGTTGTACAAATCATGACGCTGCACCCCACGGTTTAGGTTCTAGGGGGCGCCAAAGATAACCCAAAAATCCACATTCTTAAAAGTCTTATAACTTTTTATTTTTGTCCTCACTGCCCTCCAAGTTTTCTAGGATGATGCAATGTCCAGCCATCAACACATTTGTGAAGGAATTTTTACTCCCCAAAAGAGCGCCCCCCCATGGCAGGAGAAAAAAGTCAATTTTTTCTTGTCCCCTTACATGAAAATACACATTGTTGAGTGTCACGCCTGAACGCTTTGTCATATTGACACAAAAATTGACAATCATGTGTATCTCAATTAGATCTACGAAAAAGTCAAAGAGCGCGTATCTGTATAATGTACGGTTAAAGGGCTATTTCGCATTTTTTGCCGATTCGCACACATTGGAATGTGGCTATCTCCTCCTAAGGCTTTCGTCCCACTGATACCAAATTTGCTCAGGGCAATCTACACCCCATGCCCATTCAAAGTTGTAAAAATCATGACGCTGCACCCCACGGTTTACGTTCTAGGGGGCGCCAAAGATGACCCAAAAATCCACATTCTTAAAAGTCATTTTGGCCACTGCAGGAGTACAGAGTACTGCAGTTCTAGGGGGCGCCAAAGATGACCCAAAAATCCACATTCTTAAAAGTCTTTTTGGCCACTGCAGGAGTACAGAGTACTGCAGGATACACACACATGTACACACACGCCAACACACACACACACACACACACACACACACACACACACACACACACACTCAGAGTCTGTTTTTTAGCACCTGCAAAAACATGCTGTTTACATATTTGACAAGAATGCAGAGGCTTCCTTTTGCCCCTGAAAAAAATCAAATTTCAAACACAACTTGACTGGTCATTTCTCCAAAAGACAACCATGAAGCTCCATCCAAACCTGAAGCAGATAGTTGGTGCATGTGTACAGTAACCTGAGGGGAGTGAGGTGACTATTTCTGAGGAGAACATGAGCAGTGAAGATTCACCTTGGAGCTAGAACAGGGACGTGCACATGATTATACAGGGGCAGGGGCTCAAGTTTTTTCCAGTCATTTATACAATATGGAAATTAATGTGAAATTAAAAAACAAAGTATTAATAGAAAGGTTATGACTGTCCTGTGTAGATGACAGTGATATCCAATAGGCTAGGCACTCACGAGGCTGGCTGTGGCAAGTGTAAGTGAAAGCAACACGCACTGGCAGGAAGAACAGCAAACGCCGATGAAGGAAAGGGTCTTTGCAGTGATGGGCGTTACCAGAGAGGACGATGGCCAGAGGACGCGAATGGGACGGGGAGGCAGCGCGTTGGGGGGGGCAGCGCGACACGGCTCGGGCCCGCCAGTGCCCCAACGGGGCCCTAGTTATTTTTGTCCTCACTGGCCTCCATGTTTTCTAGGATGATGCAATGTCCAGCCATCAACACATTTGTGAAGGAGTTTTTTCTCTTTAAAAGAGCGCCCCCCATGGCAGGAGAATAAAGTCAAGTTTTTCCTGTTCATCATTCAATGGCTCAAACGCACTGCTCTCTCGGCAAAAGCGAAAGGAGGAGCAACTTGCCATTTGGATATATCTTAGCTGTGTTTGTGCCCTCACTCATGGTCCAGACTTTTTTCAAATAGGACATGGAGTTTTTCTGCAGCGAGCGTTTTGGTAGAAACTGCGCCTCCCGTTCATTATAATGGTAAATGACCACAAACAAGTGCGCACACCATCTTTGGACCTTGAGTGTGACGCGATCGGGTGGGGGAGGCGGTCGCGCTGGGGGCGGCGTGACACGGCTCGGGCCCGCCAGTGCCCCAACGGGGCCCTAGTTTGTTATTAGGGCCCGAGCGTAGCTGCTAAGCAGCTGCGAGAGCCCTCTTGTTCCTGATGGATTCTTCTTTCGTTATTTTTCCTCCGCTTTAAACTGGAAAATGGCCCACTTCCCACTGGCGAAAACTCAGGAAATTTGGCAGGACGACCGGGCCTGGTGAAAAATTTGATATTCTGAAGTCGTCCAAACAAAAAAAATGAAAAATGGCTCCATAGCGCCCCCTATGGTGAAAACTCACCTGATGCCTGTACGCTTTGTCATATTGACACAAAATTTGACACACACATGTATCTCAATAAGATCTACGAAAAAGTCAGTGCGGGCGTATTTGCCAAATGTACGGTTAAAGGGCTATTTCGCTTTTTTTGCCGATCCGCACACATTGGAATTTCGCTAACTCCTCCGAAGGCTTTCGTTCCACCGGCACCAAATTTGCTCAGGCCAATCTACACCCCATGGCCATTAAAAGTTGTACAAATCATGATGCTGCACCCCACGGTTTACTTTCTAGGGGGCGCCAAAGATAACACAAAAATCCACATTCTTAAAAGTCTTATAACTTTTTATTTTTGTCCTCACTGGCCTCCAAGTTTTCTAGGATGATGCAATGTCCAGCCATCAACACATTTGTGAAGGAATTTTTACTCCCCAAAAGAGCGCCCCCCATGGCAGGAGAAAAAAGTCCATTTTTTCTTGTCTCCTAAGGTAAAAATACACATTGTTGAGTGTCACGCCTATACACTTTGTCATATTGACACACAATTTGACAATCACGTGTATCTCAATAAGATCTACAAAAAAGTCAATAGGCACGTATCTGTCAAATGTATGGTTAAAGGGCTATTTCGCATTTTTTGCCGATTCGCACACATTGGAATGTGGCTAACTCCTCCTAAGGCTTTTGTCCCACCGATACCAAATTTGCTCAGGGCAATCTACACCCCATGGCCATTCAAAGTTGTAAAAATCATGACGCTGCACCCCACGGTTTACGTTCTAGGGGGCGCCAAAGATGACCCAAAAATCCACATTCTTAAAAGTCATTTTGGCCACTGCAGGAGTACAGAGTACTGCAGTTCTAGGGGGCGCCAAAGATGACCCAAAAATCCACATTCTTAAAAGTCTTTTTGGCCACTGCAGGAGTACAGAGTACTGCCGGACACACACACATATACACACACGCCAACACACACACACACACACACACACACACACACACACACTCAGAGTCTGTTTTTTAGCACCTGCAAAAACATGCTGTTTACATATTTGACAAGAATGCAGAGGCTTCCTTTTGCCCCTGAAAAAAATCAAATTTCAAACACAACTTGACTGTTCATTTCTCCAAAAGACAACCATGAAGCTCCATCCAAACCTGAAGCAGATAGTTGGTGCATGTGTACAGTAACCTGAGGAGAGTGAGGTGACTACTTCTGAGGAGAACATGAGCAGTGAAGATTCACCTTGGAGCTAGAACAGGGACGTGCACATGATTATACAGGGGCAGGGGCTCAAGTTTTTTCCAGTCATTTATACAATATGGAAATTAATGTGAAATTAAACCACAAATATGTGTGATGAACTGTTTTTAAAACTTAAACTTCAAATAAAAATTGTAAACTTCAAAACATATGCAAATTTTTAACAAAGAACATAGTAATTTACCTCTATTTACATCAAAATGCAGGCAATGGCCCAGGCGTTCTTTGTAAAATTATTTACAAAACACTGTATAGTCTCACAAATGTCACTTTTTATTTATGCCACTACAAAAAAACATGATGTAAATGATGCATGATGTAAAACATGATGTAAAAAACTTGTGTAGATCCTCCTCTATGTCAGTCCATGTGTAATTTTTCCATAATTCTTTGTTTTTTGCAGCATTTTTGTTAGTGTAACTGCAGATTGTGCTGACAGTGTCCATGGCAAAAAAAAAAAAAACTGAAAATGCCTCAACATGAACTCCTGGTGGTCTCTGAGGGTGAAACCTGCTAACTGCTGCAGCTCTCTCAGCTCTAGTCTCCCATGCAGAGCTCGGAGCGCATGTGTGGCTCTGCACCCTTAGCAGCGTTGCTAACTCCTCAGTAAGGAAAGCCTGCTTCATGTCAGAGTCTCTAAACTCCAGAGGAAGTCGATAAAATTCCCTTTCTTTCTAAAAAAAGTCGTTAGGGGGTCTGAAAAGTCATTGAATCTAACAACAAAGTCGCTAGGTTTGCAACTACGTGTCCCAGACTGCATCCCTGCTGAGAGTCCCTCCCTCCCTTCTCATATTGCAGGAAGAACGTAAGCGCCCGCCCCTTGTCAATCAGTCACCATATAATTTTGGATTGGTTGTTGTGGTGAAGTTTTCCACCAATAGGAGAGATGTTGTGGTGTGTTTTTTTTTTCTTTTGGCAAGCCTTTTCCGCCTGTAAGAGCTGTCGCTAATGTCTGCATGCTATGTTTTCCTGTCTCATACAGCGTGATCGAGTGCCGAACGTGATCAAAATAAGCAGAAAAAAAGTATCGCGGACATAATTTATCATAACTCTGGTTTTATTTGGCCTATCAACACAATTTAAAAACTGGTATATAGTTTGAGGTCCTCACTTTTGAGATAAGTTGAAACGGAGGGTGAACGAGGCTCCGTCTTGCAGCTACATCCGGTTAAATATGTCATGTGACTTGAACGCTGGGGAGCGTCAATCGACTGCAGAGCCAGCAGACAAAGTAGTTATGCCACTGAGAGGCACACATTTGTCATATGCTATAATCCTAACATATTTTAATGCTTTTTCTATTTAAACCTAATGGATCTAAGGTTTGACCTTCAAAATTTAGGAAGAATATTTTTTTGCAGTATTGACCCCCTTAAACAACCAGAGGTCCTTTCCTAAAGTTTATGGAAATTTTAGTGAAGGCCTTGGTTTCTTTCCTTGCAAAATGTATAGAAATAATAAAGCTAAATACCATAAAATGGTCTTGGCGTATTAGCAGTGATATAAAATAGTGGTTTGAATATGAATGAACAACAAAAAAAAACATCAACAGAGCCTTTTTGAGTTGGGATTCTTTCATTATCACACAAAAACAGACATAGACAGACATCTAAAGGGTAAGGGAATGATCAGCCCTCCTAACTCTCAGATGAATCTTCAAAATTCACCGCAGAAATATGCTTATTATTCTTCTCAGAGTACTGCAAGATATATACACACACACAGACACACACACACACACACACACACTCAGAGTCTGTTTTTTAGCACCTGCAAAAACATGCTATTTACATATTTGACAAGAATGCAGAGGCTCCTTTTGCCCCTGAAAAAAATCAAATTTCAAACACAACTTGACTGGTCATTTCTCCAAAAGACAACCATGAAGCTCCATCCAAACCTGAAGCAGGCAGTTGGTGCATGTGTACAGTAACCTGAGGGGAGTGAGGTGACTGCTTCTGAGGAGAACATGAGCAGTGAAGATTCACCTTGGAGCTAGAACAGGGACGTGCACATGATTATACAGGGGCAGGGGCTCAAGTTTTTTCCAGTCATTTATACAATATGGAAATTAATGTGAAATTAAAAAACAAAGTATTAATAGAAAGGTAATGACTGTCCTCTGTAGATGACAGTGATATCCAATAGGCTAGGCACTCACGAGGCTGGCTGTGGCAAGTGTAAGTGAAAGCAACACGCACTGGCAGGAAGAACAGCAAACGCCGATGAAGGAAAAGGGTCTTTGCAGTGATGGGCGTTACCAGAGAGGGCGATGGCCAGAGGACACGAATGGGACGGGGAGGCAGCGCATTGGGGGGAGGCAGCGCGTTGGGGGGGGGGGGGCGGCGCGACACGGCTCGGGCCCGCCAGTGCCCCAACGGGGCCCTAGTTATTATTAGGGCCCGAGCGTAGCTGCTAAGCAGCTGCGAGAGCCCTCTTGTTCCTGATGGATTCTTCTTTCGTTATTTTTCCTCCGCTTTAAACTGGAAAATGGCCCACTTCCCACTGGCGAAAACTCAGGAAATTTGGCAGGACGACCGGGCCTGGTGAAAAATTTGATATTCTGAAGTCGTCCAAACAAAAAAATGAAAAATGGCTCCATAGCGCCCCCTATGGTGAAAACTCACCTGATGCCTGTACGCTTTGTCAAAATGACACAAAATTTGACACACATGTGTATCTCAATAAGATCTACGAAAAAGTCAGTGCGGGCGTATCTGTCAAATGTACGGTTAAAGGGCTATTTCGCTTTTTTTGCCGATCCGCACACATTGGAATTTCGCTAACTCCTCCGAAGGCTTTCGTTCCACCGGCACCAAATTTGCTCAGGCCAATCTACACCCCATGGCCATTAAAAGTTGTACAAATCATGACGCTGCACCCCACGGTTTAGGTTCTAGGCGGCGCCAAAGATAACCCAAAAATCCTCATTCTTAAAAGTCTTATAACTTTTTATTTTTGTCCTCACTGGCCTCCAAGGTTTCTAGGATGATGCAATGTCCAGCCATCAACTCATTTGTGAAGGAGTTTTTACTCCCCAAAAGAGCGCCCCCCCATGGCAGGAGAAAAAAGTCCATTTTTTCTTGTCTCCTAAGGTAAAAATACACATTGTTGAGTGTCACGCCTATACACTTTGTCATATTGACACACAATTTGACAATCACGTGTATCTCAATAAGATCTACAAAAAAGTCAATAGGCACGTATCTGTCAAATGTACGGTTAAAGGGCTATTTCGCATTTTTTGCCGATTCGCACACATTGGAATGTGGCTATCTCCTTCTAAGGCTTTCGTCCCACCGATACCAAATTTGCTCAGGCCAATCTACACCCCATGGCCATTCAAAGTTGTAAAAATCATGCCGCTGCACCCCACGGTTTACGTTCTAGGGGGCGCCAAAGATGACCCAAAAATCCACATTCTTAAAAGTCTTTTTGGTCACTGCAGGAGTACAGAGTACTGCAGGATACACACACATATACACACACACACACACACACACACACACACACACACACACACACTCAGAGTCTGTTTTTTAGCACCTGCAAAAACATGCTGTTTACATATTTGACAAGAATGCAGAGGCTTCCTTTTGCCCCTGAAAAAAATCAAATTTCAAACACAACTTGACTGTTCATTTCTCCAAATGACAACCATGAAGCTCCATCCAAACCTGAAGCAGGCAGTTGGTGCATGTGTACAGTAACCTGAGGGGAGTGAGGTGACTGCTTCTGAGGAGAACATGAGCAGTGAAGATTCACCTTGGAGCGAGAACAGGGACGTGCACATGATTATACAGGGGCAGGGGCTCAAGTTTTTTCCAGTCGTTTATACAATATGGAAATTAATGTGAAATTAAAAAACAAAGTATTAATAGAAAGGTAATGACTGTCCTGTGTAGGTGACAGTGATATCCAATAGGCTAGGCACTCACGAGGCTGGCTGTGGCAAGTGTAAGTGAAAGCAACACGCACTGGCAGGAAGAACAGCAAACCCCGATGAAGGAAAAGGGTCTTTGCAGTGATGGGCGTTACCAGAGAGGACGATGGCCAGAGGACGCGAATGGGACGGGGAGGCAGCGCGTTGGGGGGGGGGCGCGACACAGCTCGGGCCCGCCAGTGCCCCAACGGGGCCCTAGTTAGGGCCCGAGCGTAGCTGCTAAGCAGCTGCGAGAGCCCTATTATTCCTGATGGATTCTTCTTTCTTCTTCTTATTAGGGCCCGAGCCAGCTGCAGAGCAGCCGGGCGTAGGCCCTATTATTCCCCAAGTGGTTTTTCTTTGTTTCTTTAGGGCCCGAGCGTAGCTGCTAAGCAGCTGCGAGAGCCCTCTTGTTCCTGTAGTTTCCTTCTTTTGTTATTATTATTATTATTTTTCCTCCCCTTTGAACTGGAAAATGGCCCACTTCCCACTGGCGAAAACTCATGAAATTTGGCAGGACGACCGGGCCTGGTGAAAAATTTGATATTCCGAAGTTGCCCAAACAAGAAAATGCAAAATGGCTCCATAGCGCCCCCTAAGGTGAAAATTCACACTATTCACTGTCACGCCGGTACGCTTTGTCAAAATGACACAAAAATTGACACACACATGTATCTCAATAAGATCTACAAAAAAGTCAGTGCGGGCGTATCTGTCAAATGTACGGTTAAAGGGTTATTTCGCATTTTTTGCCGATCCGCACACATTGGAATTTCGCTAACTCCTCCGAAGGCTTTCGTTCCACCGGCACCACATTTGCTCAGGCCAATCTACACCCCATGGCCATTAAAAGTTATTCAAATCATGACGCTGCACCCCACGGTTTAGGTTCTAGGGGGCGCCAAAGATAACCCTAAGATCCACATATTTAAAAGTCTTATAACTTTTTATTTTTGCCCTCACTGGCCTCCAAGTTTTCTAGGATGATGCAATGTCCAGCCATCAACACATTTGTGAAGGAATTTTTACTCCCTAAAAGAGCGCCCCCCCATGGCAGGAGAAAAAAGTCCATTTTTTCTTGTCCCCTAAGGTGAAAATACACATTGTTGAGTGTAACACCTGTACGCTTTGGCAAAATGACACAAAAATTGACACACACATGTATCTCAATAAGATCTACGAAAAAGTCAATGCGCGCGTATCTGTCAAATGTACGGTTAAAGGGTTATTCCGCATTTTTTGCCGATCCGCACACATTGGAATTTCGCTAACTCCTCCGAAGGCTTTCGTTCCACCGGCACCACATTTGCTCAGGCCAATCTACACCCCATGGCCATTAAAAGTTATTCAAATCATGACGCTGCACCCCACGGTTTAGGTTCTAGGGGGAGCCAAAGATAACCGTAAAATCCACATATTTAAAAGTCTTATAACTTTTTATTTTTGTCCCCACTGGCCTCCAAGTTTTCTAGGATGATGCAATGTCCAGCCATCAACACATTTGTGAAGGAATTTTTACTCGGCAAAAGAGCGCCCCCCCATGGCAGGAGAAAAAAGTCAATTTTTTCTTGTCCACTAAGGTGAAAATACACATTGTTGAGTGCTACGCCTGTATGTTTTGTCGTATTGACACAAAATTTTACATACACGTGTATTTACATAAGATCTTCGAAAAAGTCAATGGCCACGTATCTGTAAAATGTACGGTTAAAGGGTTATTTCGCTTTTTGCAGATTCGCACACATTGGAATTTCGCTAATTCCTCCGAAGGCTTTCGTTCCACCGGCACCACATTTGCTCAGGCCAATCTACACCCCATGGCCATTAAAAGTTATTCAAATCATGACGCTGCACCCCACGGTTTAGGTTCTAGGGGGCGCCAAAGATAACCCTAAAATCCACATATTTAAAAGTCTTATAACTTTTTATTTTTGTCCTCACTGGCCTCCATGTTTTCTAGGATGATGCAATGTCCAGCCATCAACACATTTGTGAAGGAGTTTTTTCTCTTTAAAAGAGCGCCCCCCATGGCAGGAGAATAAAGTCAAGTTTTTCCTGTTCATCATTCAATGGCTCAAACGCACTGCTCTCTCGGCAAAAGCGAAAGGAGGAGCAACTTGCCATTTGGATATATCTTAGCTGTGTTTGTGCCCTCACTCATGGTCCAGACTTTTTTCAAATAGGACATGGAGTTTTTCTGCAGCGAGCGTTTTGGTAGAAACTTCGCCTCCCGTTCATTATAATGGTAAATGACCACAAACAAGTGCGCACACCATCTTTGGACCTTGAGTGTGACGCGATCGGGTGGGGGAGGCGGTCGCGCTGGGGGCGGCGTGACACGGCTCGGGCCCGCCAGTGCCCCAACGGGGCCCTAGTTCTTTCTTTCTTTCTTCTTTTTCCTCCCCTTTGAACTGGAAAATGGCCCACTTCCCACTGGCGAAAACTCATGAAATTTGGCAGGACGACCGGGCCTGGTGAAAAATTTGATATTCCGAAGTCGCCCAAACAAGAAAATGCAAAATGGCTCCATAGCGCCCCCTAAGGTGAAAATTCACACTATTGACTGTCACGCCTGTACGCTTTGTCAAAATGACACAAAAATTGACACACACATGTATCTCAATAAGATCTACAAAAAAGTCAGTGCGGGCGTATCTGTCAAATGTACGGTTAAAGGGTTATTGCGCATTTTTTGCCGATACGCACACATTGGAATTTCGCTAACTCCTCCGAAGGCTTTCGTTCCACCGGCACCACATTTGCTCAGGCCAATCTACACCCCATGGCCATTAAAAGTTATTCAAATCATGACGCTGCACCCCACGGTTTAGGTTCTAGGGGGCGCCAAAGATAACACTAAAATCCACATATTTCAAAGTCTTATAACTTTTTATTTTTGTCCTCACTGGCCTCCAAGTTTTCTAGGATGATGCAATGTCCAGCCATCAACACATTTGTGAAGGAATTTTTACTCCCCAAAAGAGCGCCCCCCCATGGCAGGAGATAAAGGTCCATTTTTTCTTGTCCCCTAAGGTGAAAATACACATTGTTGAGTGTCACGCCTGTACGCTTTGTCAAAATGACACAAAAATTGACACACACATGTATCTCAATAAGATCTACAAAAAAGTCAATGGGCGCGTATCTGTCAAATGTACGGTTAAAGGGTTATTGCGCATTTTTTGCCGATCCGCACACATTGGAATTTCGCTAACTCCTCCGAAGGCTTTCGTTCCACCGGCACCACATTTGCTCAGGCCAAATTACACCCCATGGCCATTAAAAGTTATTCAAATCATGACGCTGCACCCCACGGTTTACGTTCTAGGGGGCGCCAAAGATAACCCAAAAATCCAAATTTTTAAAAGTCTTATAACTTTTTATTTTTGTCCTCACTGGCCTCCAAGTTTTCTAGGATGATGCAATGTCCAGCCATCAACACATTTGTGAAGGAATTTTTACTCCCTAAAAGAGCGCCCCCCCATGGCAGGAGAAAAAAGTCCATTTTTTCTTGTCCCCTAAGGTGAAAATACACATTGTTGAGTGTAACACCTGTACGCTTTGGCAAAATGACACAAAAATTGACACACACATGTATCTCAATAAGATCTACAAAAAAGTCAATGCGCGCGTATCTGTCAAATGTACGGTTAAAGGGCTATTTTGCATTTTTTGCCGATTCGCACACATTGGAATGTGGCTAACTCCTCCTAAGGCTTTTGTCCCACTGACACCAAATTTGCTCAGGCCAATCTACACCCCATGGCCATTCAAAGTTGTAAAAATCATGACGCTGCACCCCACGGTTTACGTTCTAGGGGGCGCCAAAGATGACCCAAAAATCCACATTCTTAAAGGAATCCACATCCCCCCCCAAGGCAGGAGAAAAAGTCAAGTTAACCCTGCCCATCGCTCAATGGCTCAATCGCATCGCTCTCCAGGCAACACCGTAAGGAGGAGCAACCTGCCATTTCGATATATCATAGCTGTGTTTGTGCCCTCACTCATGGTCCAGACTTTTTTCAAATAGGACATGAAGTTTGTCTGCAGCGAGTGTTTTGGTAGAAACTGCGCCTCCCATTCATTATAATGGGAAATGACCACAGACAAGTGCGCACACCATCTTTGGACCTTGAGTGTGACGCGATCGGGAGGGGGAGGCGGTCGCGCTAGGGGCGGCGCGACGCGGCTCGGGCCCGACAGTGCCCCACCGGGGCCCTAGTTAGGGCCCGAGCCAGCTGCAGAGCAGCCGGGCGTAGGCCCTGTTATTCCTGTAGGGGTTTTTCTTTGTTTCTTTCTTTCTTCTTTTTCCTCCCCTTTGAACTGGAAAATGGCCCACTTCCCACTGGCGAAAACTCATGAAATTTGGCAGGACGACTGGGCCTGGTGAAAAATTTGATATTCTGAAGTTGCCAAAACAATAAAATGCAAAATGGCTCCATAGCGCCCCCTAAGGTGAAAATTCACACTATTCACTGTCACGACTGTACGCTTTGTCAAAATGACACAAAAATTGACACACACATGTATCTCAATAAGATCTACAAAAAAGTCAGTGCGGCCGTATCTGTCAAAATTACGGTTAAAGGGTTATTTCGCATTTTTTGCCGATCTGCACACATTGGAATTTCGCTAACTCCTCCGAAGGCTTTCGTTCCACCGGCACCACATTTGCTCAGGCCAATCTACACCCCGTGGCCATTAAAAGTTATCAAAATCATGACGCTGCACCCCAAGGTTTAGGTTCTAGGGGGCGCCAAAGATAACACTAAAATCCACATATTTAAAAGTCTTATAACTTTTTATTTTTGTCCTCACTGGCCTCCAAGTTTTCTAGGATGATGCAATGTCCAGCCATCAACACATTTGTGAAGGAATTTTTACTCCCCAAAAGAGCGCCCCCCCATGGCAGGAGAAAAAAGTCCATTTTTTCTTGTCCCCTAAGGTGAAAATACACATTGTTGAGTGTCACGCCTATACGCTTTGTCAAAATGACACAAAAATTGACACACACATGTAACTCAATAAGATCTACGAAAAAGTCAATGCGCGCGTATCTGTCAAATGTACGGTTAAAGGGTTATTCCGCATTTTTTGCCGATCCGCACACATTGGAATGTGGCTAACTCCTCCTAAGGCTTTCGTTCCACCGGCACCACATTTGCTCAGGCCAATCTACACCCCATGGCCATTAAAAGTTATCAAAATCATGACGCTGCACCCCACGGTTTAGGTTCTAGGGGGCGCCAAAGATAACCCTAAAATCCACATTTTTAAAAGTCTTATAACTTTTTATTTTTGTCCTCACTGGCCTCCAAGTTTTCTAGGATGATGCAATGTCCAGCCATCAACACATTTGTGAAGGAATTTTTACTCCCCAAAAGAGCGCCCCCCCATGGCAGGAGAAAAAAGTCCATTTTTTCTTGTCCCCCAAGGTGAAAATACATATTGTTGAGATTCACGCCTATACGCTTTGTCATATTGACACAAAATTTGACAATCCTGTGCCTTGCCTGGTATCATTTTTTTTCAGCACAACCTCACCTGTGCGAATTTACAGTTATTTTATCATGTTGACATACTGAATTTACACAATGGACCCAAATTCACACACAAAACATAAAATCCGAGTGGAAAAAAGTAACATTTTTACAGTGAAAACCACAAATATGTGTGATGAACTGTTTTTAAAACTTAAACTTCAAATAAAAATTGTAAACTTCAAAACATATGCAAATTTTTAACAAAGAACATAGTGATTTACCTCTATTTACATCAAAATGCAGGCAATGGCCCAGGCGTTCTTTGTAAAATTATTTACAAAACACTGTATAGTCTCACAAATGTCACTTTTTATTTATGCCACTACAAAAAAACATGATGTAAATGATGCATGATGTAAAACATGATGTAAAAAACTTGTGTAGATCCTCCTCTATGTCAGTCCATGTGTAATTTTTCCATAATTCTTTGTTTTTTGCAGCATTTTTGTTAGTGTAACTGCAGATTGTGCTGACAGTGTCTATGGCACAAAAAAAAAAAAAAAATTAAAATGCCTCAACATGAACCCCTGGTGGTCTCTGAGGGTGAAACCTGCTAACTGCTGCAGCTCTGTCAGCTTCAGTCTCCCATGCAGAGCTCTGAGCGCATGTGTGGCTCTGCACCCTTAGCAGCGTTGCTAACTCCTCAGTAAGGAAAGCCTGCTTCATGTCAGAGTCTCTAAACTCCAGAAGAAGTCGATAAAAGTCCCTTTCTTTCTAACAAAAAGTCGTTAGGGGGTCTGAAAAGTCATTGAATCTAACAACAAAGTCGCTAGGTTTGCAACTACGTGTCCCAGACTGCATCCCTGCTGAGAGTCCCTCCCTCCCTTCTCATGTTGCAGGAAGAACGTAAGCACCCTCCCCTTGTCAATCAGTCACCATATAATTTTGGATTGGTTGTTGTGGTGAAGTTTTCCACCAATAGGAGAGATGTTGTGGTGTGTTTTTTTTTTCCTTTGGCAAGCCTTTTCCGCCTGTAAGACCTGTCGCTAATGTCTGCATGCTATGTTTTCCTGTCTCATACAGCGCGATCGAGCGCCGAACGTGATCAAAATAAGCAGAAAAAAAGTATCGCGGACATAATTTACCATAACTCTGGTTTTATTTGGCCTATCAACACAATTTAAAAACTGGTATATAGGTTGAGGTCCTCACTTTTGAGATAAGTTGAAACGGAGAGTCAACGAGGCTCCGTCTTGCAGCTACATCCGGTTAAATATGTCATGTGACTTGAACGCACACACAGACACACACACACACGCACGCACACACACACACACACACACACACACACACACACACACACACACACACACACACACACTCAGAGTCTGGTTTTTAGCACCTGCAAAAACATGCTATTTACATATTTGACAAGAATGCAGAGGCTCCTTTTGCCCCTGAAAAAAATCAAATTTCAAACACAACTTGACTGCTCATTTCTCCAAAAGACAACCATGAAGCTCCATCCAAACCTGAAGCAGGCAGTTGGTGCATGTGTACAGTAACCTGAGGGGAGTGAGGTGAGTGCTTCTGAGGAGAACATGAGCAGTGAAGATTCACCTTGGAGCTAGAACAGAGACATGCACATGATTATACAGGGGCAGGGGCTCAAGTTTTTTCCAGTCGTTTATACAATATGGAAATTAATGTGAAATTAAAACACAAAGTATTAATAGAAAGGTAATGACTGTCCTGTGTAGGTGACAGTGATATCCAATAGGCTAGGCACTCACGAGGCTGGCTGTGGCAAGTGTAAGTGAAAGCAACACGCACTGGCAGGAAGAACAGCAAACGCCGATGAAGGAAAAGGGTCTTTGCAGTGATGGGCGTTACCAGAGAGGGCGATGGCCAGAGGACACAAATGGGACGGGGAGGCAGCACGTTGGGGGGGGGGGACGCGACACGGCTCGGGCCCGCCAGTGCCCCAACGGGGTCCTAGTTCTTTCTTTCTTTCTTTCTTTCTTTCTTTCTTCTTTTTCCTCCCCTTTGAACTGGAAAATGGTCCACTTCCCACTGGCGAAAACTCATGAAATTTGGCAGGACGACCGGGCCTGGTGAAAAATTCGATATTCTGAAGTCGCCCAAACAATAAAATGCAAAATGGCTCCATAGCGCCCCCTAAGGTGGAAATTCACACTATTGACTGTCACGCCTGTACGCTTTGTCATATTGACACAAAAATTGACACACATATGTATCTCAATAAGATCTACAAAAAAGTCAGTGCGACCGTATCTGTCAAAATTACGGTTAAAGGGTTATTTCGCATTTTGTGCCGATCCGCACACATTGGAATTTCGCTAACTCCTCCGAAGGCTTTCGTTCCACCGGCACCACATTTGCTCAGGCCAATCTACACCCCGTGGCCATTAAAAGTTATCAAAATCATGACGCTGCACCCCACGGTTTAGGTTCTAGGGGGCGCCAAAGATAACACTAAAATCCACATATTTAAAAGTCTTATAACTTTTTATTTTTGTCCTCACTGGCCTCCAAGTTTTCTAGGATGATGCAATGTCCAGCCATCAACACATTTGTGAAGGAATTTTTACTCCCCAAAAGAGCGCCCCCCCATGGCAGGAGAAAAAAGTCCATTTTTTCTTGTCCCCTAAGGTGAAAATACACATTGTTGAGTGTCACGCCTATACGCTTTGTCAAAATGACACAAAAATTGACACACACATGTATCTCAATAAGATCTACGAAAAAGTCAATGCGCGCGTATCTGTCAAATGTACGGTTAAAGGGTTATTCCGCATTTTTTGCCGATCCGCACACATTGGAATGTGGCTAACTCCTCCTAAGGCTTTCGTTCCACCGGCACCACATTTGCTCAGGCCAATCTACACCCCATGGCCATTAAAAGTTATTCAAATCATGACGCTGCACCCCACGGTTAAGGTTCTAGGGGGCGCCAAAGACAACCCTAAAATCCACATATTTAAAAGTCTTATAACTTTTTATTTTTGTCCTCACTGGCCTCCAAGTTTTCTAGGATGATGCAATGTCCAGCCATCAAGACATTTGTGAAGGAATTTTTACTCCCCAAAAGAGCGCCCCCCCATGGCAGGAGAAAAAAGTCCATTTTTTCTTGTCCCCTAAGGTGAAAATACATATTGTTGAGATTCACGCCTATACGCTTTGTCATAATGACACAAAATTTGACAATCACATGTATCTCAATAAGATCTACGAAAAAGTCAATGCGCGCGTATCTGTCAAATGTACGGTTAAAGGGTTATTCCGCATTTTTTGCCGATCCGCACACATTGGAATGTGGCTAACTCCTCCTAAGGCTTTCGTTCCACCGGCACCACATTTGCTCAGGCCAATCTACACCCCATGGCCATTAAAAGTTATTCAAATCATGACGCTGCACCCCACGGTTAAGGTTCTAGGGGGCGCCAAAGACAACCCTAAAATCCACATATTTAAAAGTCTTATAACTTTTTATTTTTGTCCTCACTGGCCTCCAAGTTTTCTAGGATGATGCAATGTCCAGCCATCAACACATTTGTGAAGGAATTTTTACTCCCCAAAAGAGCGCCCCCCCATGGCAGGAGAAAAAAGTCCATTTTTTCTTGTCCCCTAAGGTGAAAATACATATTGTTGAGATTCACGCCTATACGCTTTGTCATAATGACACAAAATTTGACAATCACATGCCTTGCCTGGTATCATTTTTTTTCAGCACAACCTCACCTGTGCGAATTTACAGTTATTTTATCATGTTGACATACTGAATTTACACAATGGACCCAAATTCACACACAAAACATAAAATCCGAGTGGAAAAAAGTAACATTTTTACTGTGAAAACCACAAATATGTGTGATGAACTGTTTTTAAAACTTAAACTTCAAATAAAAATTGTAAACTTCAAAACATATGCAAATTTTTAATGAAGAACATAGTGATTTACCTCTATTTACATCAAAATGCAGGCAATGGCCCAGGCGTTCTTTGTAAAATTATTTACAAAACACTGTATAGTCTCACAAATGTCACTTTTTATTTATGCCACTACAAAAAAACATGATGTAAATGATGCATGATGTAAAACATGATGTAAAAAACTTGTGTAGATCCTCCTCTATGTCAGTCCATGTGTAATTTTTCCATAATTCTTTGTTTTTTGCAGCATTTTTGTTAGTGTAACTGCAGATTGTGCTGACAGTGTCTATGGCACACAAAAAAAAAAAAATTAAAATGCCTCAACATGAACCCCTGGTGGTCTCTGAGGGTGAAACCTGCTAACTGCTGCAGCTCTGTCAGCTTCAGTCTCCCATGCAGAGCTCTGAGCGCATGTGTGGCTCTGCACCCTTAGCAGCGTTGCTAACTCCTCAGTAAGGAAAGCCTGCTTCATGTCAGAGTCTCTAAACTCCAGAAGAAGTCGATAAAAGTCCCTTTCTTTCTAAAAAAAAGTCGTTAGGGGGTCTGAAAAGTCATTGAATCTAACAACAAAGTCGCTAGGTTTGCAACTACGTGTCCCAGACTGCATCCCTGCTGAGAGTCCCTCCCTCGCTTCTCATGTTGCAGGAAGAACGTAAGCACCCGCCCCTTGTCAATCAGTCACCATATAATTTTGGATTGGTTGTTGTGGTGAAGTTTTCCACCAATAGGAGAGATGTTGTGGTGTGTTTTTTTTTTTCTTTTGGCAAGCCTTTTCCGCCTGTAAGACCTGTCGCTAATGTCTGCATGCTATGTTTTCCTGTCTCATACAGCGCGATCGAGCGCCGAACGTGATCAAAATAAGCAGAAAACAAGTATCGCGGACATAATTTATCATAACTCTGGTTTTATTTGGCCTATCAACACAATTTAAAAACTGGTATATAGGTTGAGGTCCTCACTTTTGAGATAAGTTGAAACGGAGAGTCAACGAGGCTCCGTCTTGCAGCTACATCCGGTTAAATATGTCATGTGACTTGAACGCACACACAGACACACACACACGCACACACACACACACACAGACACACACACACACTCAGAGTCTGGTTTTTAGCACCTGCAAAAACATGCTATTTACATATTTGACAAGAATGCAGAGGCTCCTTTTGCCCCTGAAAAAAATCAAATTTCAAACACAACTTGACTGGTCATTTCTCCAAAAGACAACCATGAAGCTCCATCCAAACCTGAAGCAGGCAGTTGGTGCATGTGTACAGTAACCTGAGGGGAGTGAGGTGAGTGCTTCTGAGGAGAACATGAGCAGTGAAGATTCACCTTGGAGCTAGAACAGAGACATGCACATGATTATACAGGGGCAGGGGCTCAAGTTTTTTCCAGTCGTTTATACAATATGGAAATTAATGTGAAATTAAAACACAAAGTATTAATAGAAAGGTAATGACTGTCCTGTGTAGGTGACAGTGATATCCAATAGGCTAGGCACTCACGAGGCTGGCTGTGGCAAGTGTAAGTGAAAGCAACACGCACTGGCAAGAAGAACAGCAAACGCCGATGAAGGAAAAGGGTCTTTGCAGTGATGGGCGTTACCAGAGAGGGCGATGGCCAGAGGACACAAATGGGACGGGGAGGCAGCACGTTGGGGGGGGGACGCGACATGGCTCGGGCCCGCCAGTGCCCCAACGGGGTCCTAGTTATTATTTTTCTGCCCCTTTGAACTGGAAAATGGCCCACTTCCCACTGGTGAAAAGTCATGAAATTTGGCAGGACGACCGGGCCTGGTGAAAAATTCGATATTCTGAAGTCGCCCAAAAAATCAAATGCAAAATGGCTCCATAGCGCCCCCTAAGGTGAAAAATTCACATGATTGAGTGTCACGCCTGTACGCTTTGTCAAAATGACACAAAATTTGACACACACGTGTATCTCAATAAGATCTACAAAAAAGTCAGTGCGGGCGTATCTGTCAAATGTACGGTTAAAGGGCTATTTCGCATTTTTTGCCGATCCGCACACATTGGAATTTCGCTAACTCCTCCGAAGGCTTTCGTTCCACCGGCACCAAATTTGCTCAGGCCAATCTACACCCCATGGCCATTAAAAGTTGTACAAATCATGACGCTGCATCCCACGGTTTACGTTCTAGGGGGCGCCAAAGATAACCCAGAAATCCACATTCTTAAAAGTCGTATAACTTTTTATTTTTGTCCTCACTGGCCTCCAAGTTTTCTAGGATGATGCAATGTCCAGCCATCAACACATTTGTGAAGGAATTTTTACTCCCCAAAAGAGCGCCCCCCCATGGCAGGAGAAAAAAGTCCATTTTTTCTTGTCTCCTAAGGCGAAAATTCACACTATTGACTGTCACGCCTTTACGCTTTGTCATATTGACACAAAAATTGACACACACATGTATCTCAATAAGATCTACAAAAAAGTCAGTGCGGGCGTATCTGTCAAATGTACGGTGAAAGGGCTATTTCGCATTTTTTGCCGATCCGCACACATTGGAATTTCGCTAACTCCTCCGAAGGCTTTCGTTCCAAAGGCACCACATTTGCTGAGGCCAATCTACACCCCATGGCCATTAAAAGTTGTACAAATCATGACGCTGCACCCCACGGTTTACGTTCTAGGGGGCGCCAAAGATAACCCAAAAATCCACAGTCTTAAAAGTCTTATAACTTTTTATTTTTGTCCTCACTGGCCTCCAAGTTCTCTAGGATGATGCAATGTCCAGCCATCAACACATTTGTGAAGGAATTTTTACTCGCCAAAAGAGCGCCCCCCATGGCAGGAGAAAAAAGTCCATTTTTTCTTGTCTCCTAAGGCGAAAATACACATTGTTGACTGTCACGCCTTTACGCTTTGTCAAAATGACACAAAATTTGACAATCACATGTATCTCAATAAGATCTACAAAAAAGTCAGTGCGGGCGTATCTGTCAAATGTACGGTTAAAGGGTTATTTCGCATTTTTTGCCGATCCGCACACATTGGAATTTCGCTAACTCCTCCTAAATCTTTTGTCCCATCGGCTTCAAATTTGCTCAGGTCAATCTACACCCCATGGCCATTCAAAGTTGTACAAATCATGACGCTGCACCCCACAGTTTACGTTCTAGGGGGCGCCAAAGAGGACCCAAATATCCACATTTTTAAAAGTCTTATAACTTTTTATTTTTGTCCTCACTGGCCTCCAAGTTTTCTAGGATGATGCAATGTCCAGCCATCAACACATTTGTGAAGGAATTTTTTCTCCCCAAAAGAGCGCCCCCCCATGGCAGGAGAAAAAGTCAAGTTTTTCCTGCCCATCGCTCAATGGCTCAAACGCATCGCTCTCTCTGCAAAACCAAAAGGAGGAGCAACTTGCCATTTGGATATATCGTAGCTGTGTTTGTGCCCTCACTCATGGTCCAGACTTTTTTCAAATAGGACATGTAGTTTGTCTGCAGCGAGCGTTTTGGTAGAAACTGCGCCTCCCATTCATTATAATGGGAAATGACCACAGACAAGTGCGCACACCATCTTTGGACCTTGAGTGTGACGCGATCGGGAGGGGGAGGCGGTCGCGCTGGGGGCGGCGCGACGCGGCTCGGGCCCGACAGTGCCCCACCGGGGCCCTAGTTATTAGGGCCCGAGCGTAGCTGCTAAGCAGCTGCGAGAGCCCTCTTGTTCCTGCATGTTTCCTTCTTTCGTTATTATTTTTCCTCCGCTTTAAACTGGAAAATGGCCCACTTCCCACTGGCGAAAACTCAGGAAATTTGGCAGGACGACCGGGCCTGGTGAAAAATTCGATATTCTGAAGTCGCCCAAACAATAAAATGCAAAATGGCTCCATAGCGCCCCCTAAGGTGAAAATTCACATGACGGCTTTACGCTTTGTCATATTGACACAAAAATTGACACACACATGTATCTCAATAAGATCTACAAAAAAGTCAGTGCGGGCGTATCTGTCAAATGTACGGTTAATGGGTTATTTTGCATTTTTTGCAGATCTGCACACATTGGAATTTCGCTAACTCCTCCGAAGGCTTTCGTTCCACCGGCACCACATTTGCTCAGGCCAATCTACACCCCATGGCCATTAAAAGTTATTCAAATCATGACGCTGCACCCCACGGTTTAGGTTCTAGGGGGCGCCAAAGATAACCCTAAAATCCACATATTTCAAAGTCTTATAACTTTTTCTTTTTGTCCTCACTGGCCTCCAAGTTTTCTAGGATGATGCAATGTCCAGCCATCAACACATTTGTGAAGGAATTTTTACTCCCTAAAAGAGCGCCCCCCCATGGCAGGAGAAAAAAGTCAATTTTTTCTTGTCCCGTAAGGTGAAAATTCACATTGTTGAGTGTGACACCTGTACGCTTTGTCATATTGACACAAAATTTGACAATCACGTGTATCTCAATAAGATCTACGAAAAAGTCAATGGGTGCGTATCTGTCAAATGTACGGTTAGAGGGCTATTTTGCATTTTTTGCCGATTCGCACACATTGGAATGTGGCTAACTCCTCCTAAGGCTTTCGTCCCACTGAAACTAAATTTGCTCAGGCCAATCTACACCCCATGGCCATTCAAAGTTGTAAAAATCATGACGCTGCACCCCACGGTTTACGTTCTAGGGGGCGCCAAAGATGACCAAAAAATCCACATTCTTAAAAGAATCCACATTCTCCCCCCCCATGGCAGGAGAAAAAGTCAAGTTTTTCCTGCCCATCGCTCAATGGCTCAATCGCATCGCTCTCCAGGCAACACCGTATCCAGGAGCAACCTGCCATTTGGATATATCCCAGCTGTGTTTGTGCCCTCACTCATGGTCCAGACTTTTTTCAAATAGGACATGAAGTTTGTCTGCAGCGAGTGTTTTGGTAGAAACTGCGCCTCCCATTCATTATAATGGGAAATGACCACAGACAAGTGCGCACACCATCTTTGGACCTTGAGTGTGACGCGATCGGGAGGGGGAGGCGGTCACGCTGGGGGCGGCACAACGCGGCTCGGGCCCGACAGTGCCCCACCGGGGCCCTAGTTATTATTATTATTATTTTTCCTCCCCTTTGAACTGGAAAATGGCCCACTTCCCACTGGCGAAAACTCATGAAATTTGGCAGGACGACCGGGCCTGGTGAAAAATTTGATATTCCGAAGTCGCCCAAACAAGAAAATGCAAAATGGCTCCATAGCGCCCCCTAAGGTGAAAATTCACACTATTGACTGTCACGCCTGTACGCTTTGTCAAAATGACACAAAAATTGACACACACATGTATCTCAATAAGATCTACGAAAAAGTCAGTGCGGGCGTATCTGTCAAATGTACGGTTAAAGGGTTATTTCGCATTTTTTGCCGATCCGCACACATTGGAATTTCGCTAACTCCTCCGAAGGCTTTCGTTCCACCGGCACCACATTTGCTCAGGCCAATCTACACCCCATGGCCATTAAAAGTTATTCAAATCATGACGCTGCACCCCACGGTTTAGGTTCTAGGGGGCGCCAAAGATAACCCTAAGATCCACATATTTAAAAGTCTTATAACTTTTTATTTTTGCCCTCACTGGCCTCCAAGTTTTCTAGGATGATGCAATGTCCAGCCATCAACACATTTGTGAAGGAATTTTTACTCCCCAAAAGAGCGCCCCCCCATGGCAGGAGAAAAAAGTCCATTTTTTCTTGTCCCCAAAGGTGAAAATACACATTGTTGAGTGTAACACCTGTACGCTTTGGCAAAATGACACAAAAATTGACACACACATGTATCTCAATAAGATCTACGAAAAAGTCAATGCGCGCGTATCTGTCAAATGTACGGTTAAAGGGTTATTCCGCATTTTTTGCCGATCCGCACACATTGGAATTTCGCTAACTCCTCCGAAGGCTTTCGTTCCACCGGCACCACATTTGCTCAGGCCAATCTACACCCCATGGCCATTAAGAGTTATTCAAATCATGACGCTGCACCCCACGGTTTAGGTTCTAGGGGGAGCCAAAGATAACCGTAAAATCCACATATTTAAAAGTCTTATAACTTTTTATTTTTGTCCCCACTGGCCTCCAAGTTTTCTAGGATGATGCAATGTCCAGCCATCAACACATTTGTGAAGGAATTTTTACTCGGCAAAAGAGCGCCCCCCCATGGCAGGAGAAAAAAGTCAATTTTTTCTTGTCCACTAAGGTGAAAATACACATTGTTGAGTGCTACGCCTGTATGTTTTGTCGTATTGACACAAAATTTTACATACACGTGTATTTCAATAAGATCTTCGAAAAAGTCAATGGCCACGTATCTGTAAAATGTACGGTTGAAGGGTTATTTCGCATTTTTTGCAGATTCGCACACATTGGAATTTCGCTAATTCCTCCGAAGGCTTTCGTTCCACCGGCACCACATTTGCTCAGGCCAATCTACACCCCATGGCCATTAAAAGTTATTCAAATCATGACGCTGCACCCCACGGTTTAGGTTCTAGGGGGCGCCAAAGATAACCCTAAAATCCACATATTTAAAAGTCTTATAACTTTTTAGGGCCCGAGCGTAGCTGCTAAGCAGCTGCGAGAGCCCTCTTGTTCCTGATGGATTCTTCTTTTGTTAGGGCCCGAGCGTAGCTGCTAAGCAGCTGCGAGAGCCCTATTATTCCTGATGGATTCTTCTTTCTTCTTCTTCTTCTTATTATTTTTCTGCCCCTTTGAACTGGAAAATGGCCCACTTCCCACTGGTGAAAAGTCATGAAATTTGGCAGGACGACCGGGCCTGGTGAAAAATTCGATATTCTGAAGTCGCCCAAAAAATCAAATGCAAAATGGCTCCATAGCGCCCCCTAAGGTGAAAAATTCACATGATTGAGTGTCACGCCTGTACGCTTTGTCAAAATGACACAAAATTTGACACACACGTGTATCTCAATAAGATCTACAAAAAAGTCAGTGCGGGCGTATCTGTCAAATGTACGGTTAAAGGGCTATTTCGCATTTTTTGCCGATCCGCACACATTGGAATTTCGCTAACTCCTCCGAAGGCTTTCGTTCCACCGGCACCAAATTTGCTCAGGCCAATCTACACCCCATGGCCATTAAAAGTTGTACAAATCATGACGCTGCATCCCACGGTTTACGTTCTAGGGGGCGCCAAAGATAACCCAGAAATCCACATTCTTAAAAGTCGTATAACTTTTTATTTTTGTCCTCACTGGCCTCCAAGTTTTCTAGGATGATGCAATGTCTAGCCATCAACACATTTGTGAAGGAATTTTTACTCCCCAAAAGAGCGCCCCCCCATGGCAGGAGAAAAAAGTCCAGTTTTTCTTCCCCCTAAGGTGAAAATTCACATTATTGAGTGTCACGCCTGTACGCTTTGTCATATTGTAACAAACTTTGACAATCACGTGTTTCTCAATAAGATCTACGAAATAGTCAATGGGCGCGTATCTGTAAAATGTACGGTTAAAGGGCTATTTCGCATTTTTGGTCGATTCGCACACATTGGAATGTGGCTAACTCCTCCTAAATATTTCGTTCCACTGACACCAAATTTACTCAGGCCAATCTACATTCCATGGCCATTCAAAGTTGTAAAAATCATGACGCTGCACCCCACGGTTTATGTTCTAGGGGGCGCCAAAGATAACCCAAAAATCCACATTCTTAAAAGTCTTATAACTTTTTATTTTTGTCCTCACTGGCCTCCAAGTTTTCTAGGATGATGCAATGTCTAGCCATCAACACATTTGTGAAGGAATTTTTACTCCCTAAAAGAGCGCCCCCCATGGCAGGAGAAAAAGTCAAGTTTTTCCTGCCCATCGCTCAATGACTCAAACACATCGCTCTCTCGGCAAAACCGAAAGGAGGAGCAACTAGCCATTTGGATATATCCTAGCTGTGTTTGTGCCCTCACTCATGGTCCAGTCCTTTTCAAATAGGACATGTAGTTTGTCTGCGGCGAGCGTTTTGGTAGAAACTGCGCCTCCCATTCATTATAATTGTAAATGACCACAGACAAGTGCGCACACCATCTTTGGACCTTGAGTGTGACGCGATCGGTAGGGAGAGGCGGTCGTGTTGGGGGCGGCGCGACACGGCTCGGGCCCGCCAGTGCCCCAACGGGGCCCTAGTTATTATTATTATTATTTTTCCTCCGCTTTAAACTGGAAAATGGCCCACTTCCCACTGGCGAAAACTCATGAAATTTGGCAGGACGACCGGGCCTGGTGAAAAATTCGATATTTTGTAGTCGCCCAAACAAGAAAATGCAAAATGGCTCCATAGCGCCCCCTAAGGTGGAAATTCACACTATTGACTGTCACGTCTGTACGTTTTGTCATATTGACACAAAAATTGACACACATATGTATCTCAATAAGATCTACAAAAAAGTCAGTGCGGGCGTATCTGTCAAATGTACGGTTAAAGGGTTATTTCGCATTTTTTGCCGATCCGCACACATTGGAATTTCGCTAACTCCTCCGAAGGCTTTCGTTCCACCGGCACCACATTTGCTCAGGCCAGTCTACACCCCATGGCCATTAAAAGTTGTACAAATCATGACGCTGCACCCCACGGTTTAGGTTCTAGGGGGCGCCAAAGATAACCCAAAAATCCACATTCTTAAAAGTCTTATAACTTTTTATTTTTGTCCTCACTGCCCTCCAAGTTTTCTAGGATGATGCAATGTCCAGCCATCAACACATTTGTGAAGGAATTTTTACTCCCCAAAAGAGCGCCCCCCCATGGCAGGAGAAAAAAGTCAATTTTTTCTTGTCCCCTTGCTCAGGCCAGTCTACACCCCATGGCCATTAAAAGTTGTACAAATCATGACGCTGCACCCCACGGTTTAGGTTCTAGGGGGCGCCAAAGATAACCCAAAAATCCACATTCTTAAAAGTCTTATAACTTTTTATTTTTGTCCTCACTGCCCTCCAAGTTTTCTAGGATGATGCAATGTCCAGCCATCAACACATTTGTGAAGGAATTTTTACTCCCCAAAAGAGCGCCCCCCATGGCAGGAGAAAAAAGTCAATTTTTTCTTGTCCCCTTACATGAAAATACACATTGTTGAGTGTCACGCCTGAACGCTTTGTCATATTGACACAAAAATTGACAATCATGTGTATCTCAATTAGATCTACGAAAAAGTCAAAGAGCGCGTATCTGTATAATGTACGGTTAAAGGGCTATTTCGCATTTTTTGCCGATTCGCACACATTGGAATGTGGCTATCTCCTCCTAAGGCTTTCGTCCCACTGATACCAAATTTGCTCAGGGCAATCTACACCCCATGCCCATTCAAAGTTGTAAAAATCATGACGCTGCACCCCACGGTTTACGTTCTAGGGGGCGCCAAAGATGACCCAAAAATCCACATTCTTAAAAGTCATTTTGGCCACTGCAGGAGTACAGAGTACTGCAGTTCTAGGGGGCGCCAAAGATGACCCAAAAATCCACATTCTTAAAAGTCTTTTTGGCCACTGCAGGAGTACAGAGTACTGCAGGATACACACACATGTACACACACGCCAACACACACACACACACACACACACATTCACACACACACACACACTCAGAGTCTGTTTTTTAGCACCTGCAAAAACATGCTGTTTACATATTTGACAAGAATGCAGAGGCTTCCTTTTGCCCCTGAAAAAAATCAAATTTCAAACACAACTTGACTGGTCATTTCTCCAAAAGACAACCATGAAGCTCCATCCAAACCTGAAGCAGATAGTTGGTGCATGTGTACAGTAACCTGAGGGGAGTGAGGTGACTATTTCTGAGGAGAACATGAGCAGTGAAGATTCACCTTGGAGCTAGAACAGGGACGTGCACATGATTATACAGGGGCAGGGGCTCAAGTTTTTTCCAGTCATTTATACAATATGGAAATTAATGTGAAATTAAAAAACAAAGTATTAATAGAAAGGTTATGACTGTCCTGTGTAGATGACAGTGATATCCAATAGGCTAGGCACTCACGAGGCTGGCTGTGGCAAGTGTAAGTGAAAGCAACACGCACTGGCAGGAAGAACAGCAAACGCCGATGAAGGAAAGGGTCTTTGCAGTGATGGGCGTTACCAGAGAGGACGATGGCCAGAGGACGCGAATGGGACGGGGAGGCAGCGCGTTGGGGGGGGGCAGCGCGACACGGCTCGGGCCCGCCAGTGCCCCAACGGGGCCCTAGTTATTTTTGTCCTCACTGGCCTCCATGTTTTCTAGGATGATGCAATGTCCAGCCATCAACACATTTGTGAAGGAGTTTTTTCTCTTTAAAAGAGCGCCCCCCCATGGCAGGAGAATAAAGTCAAGTTTTTCCTGTTCATCATTCAATGGCTCAAACGCACTGCTCTCTCGGCAAAAGCGAAAGGAGGAGCAACTTGCCATTTGGATATATCTTAGCTGTGTTTGTGCCCTCACTCATGGTCCAGACTTTTTTCAAATAGGACATGGAGTTTTTCTGCAGCGAGCGTTTTGGTAGAAACTGCGCCTCCCGTTCATTATAATGGTAAATGACCACAAACAAGTGCGCACACCATCTTTGGACCTTGAGTGTGACGCGATCGGGTGGGGGAGGCGGTCGCGCTGGGGGCGGCGTGACACGGCTCGGGCCCGCCAGTGCCCCAACGGGGCCCTAGTTTGTTATTAGGGCCCGAGCGTAGCTGCTA